TTTTGGGGAATTATGGGTGGAAATTTGGGGATTTTATGAATTTTGAGGAAGTTTTTGTGAATTTTTGTGTGAAATTTGGGACTTTTGGGTGGAAATTTGGGAAATTTGGATGAGAATTTTGAAATATTGGGAATTTTTGATGAAATTTTGGGAGATTTTGGGAAATTCTTGGGAATTTTTGTGTGAATTTTGGGGATTTTGGGGCCAAATTTTGGATTTTTTAGGAATTTTGGGGTGAATTTTGGGAATTTTTTGGGCGAAATTTGGGGATTTTGGAGAATTTTGGGTGGAAATTTGAGAATTTTGGGAATTTTGAGGAGGTTTTCGGGCATTTTGGGGTGAAATTCGGGGATTTTGGCATCAAATTTAGGAATTCAGGAGAATTTTTAGGTAAAATTCGAGAATTTTGGGGAATTTTGAAGACAATGTTTCGGAATTTTTAGGTGAAATCTGGGAATTTTTAAGTAAAATTTGGGAATTTTGGGGTGAAATTTGGGGATTTTGGGTGAAAAATTGGGATTTTGAGGAATTTTTTGGGAATTTTTGGGTGAAATTTGTGGATTTTGGGGTCAAATTTGGGAACTTTGGGGGATTCTGAGGAAATGTTTGGGAACTTTTAGGTAAAATTTGGGTATTTTTAGGTGAAATTTGGGAGTTTTGGGAATTTTGAGGACGCTTTTGGGAATATTTGGGTCAAATTTGGGAATTTTGAGGGATTTTGGGGTGAAATTTGGGAATTTTGGAGAAATTTGAGAAAAAAATTTGGGAACTTTGCGGTAAAATTTGGGAATCTTAGGGAATCTTGGGTGGAAATTTGGGATTTTGGGAATTTTGAGGGAGTTTTGGGGAATTTTGGGGTAAAATTTGGGGATTTTGGGTGGAAATTCGGGAATTTTGAGGAAGTTTTTGGCAATTTTGGGTGAAATTTGGGAATATTGGGGTGAATTTTGAGAATTTTGGGGTAAAACTTGGAAACTTTGGGAATTTTAAAGTGAAATTTGGAGATTTTGGGGTCAAATTTATGAAATTCGCCCCCCTCAGAACAAACCACGCCCCCTTTTCCTCATCCTCCGTTTTTATTGGCTGCCGATGACGTCACCCAACATCCCACACAAGATGGCGGCGTGGGCGGGGTCCAGCGAGGCCACGCCCTCCCGGAAGCGCTGGGGGTCGGCCCCGCCCACCTGGCGGAGCAGCGCGAGCAGCGATTGGCTGAGAGCTGAGGGGGCGGGGCCAAAGGGGGCAGGGCCAGGAAGTGACCAAAAAAGGAAAAAATGAGGAAAAAATGAGAAAAAAAGCCAAAAAATCCCCCAAAATCCCAAAATTTCCCCCCACAATTCCAAAATTTCTCCCAAAATTCCCAATTTTTCCCCAAAATCCCCCCAAAATCCCCAAAAATTTCCCCAAAAATTCCCATTTCCCCCCCAAATTTCCCCAAAAATTCCCATTTTTCCCCAAAATCCCCCAACAATTCCCAAATTTCCCCAAAAATTCTTGAATTTACCCCAAAAATCCCAAATTTCCCCCCAAATCCCACCCAATATTCCCAAATTTCCCCCAAAATTCCCATTTTCCACAAATTCCACCCAAAATCTCCTCAAAAATCTGAAATTTCCCCCCAATTTTTCCCAAATTCCCAAAAATTCCCAAATTTCCCCTAAAATTTCTCAAAATTCCCCCAAAAATTCCAAATTTTCCCCTCAAATTCCCCAAAAATTCCGCAATTTTCCCCAAAATTCCCAAATTTCCCCCAAAATTCCCCCAAAACTCCCATTTTTTCCCAAAATCCCCCCAAAAATCCCAAATTTCACCCTCAATTCCCCAAATTTTCCAAAATTCCCCCCAAATTCCCATTTTTTGCCAAATTACCCCCAAAAATCCCAAGTTTTGCCCTCAAAAATCCTAAAATTTCAGACCAAAGTCTCAAAATTTGCCCAAAATTCCAAAATTTCCCCCAAAATTCCCATTATTCCCAAATTTCCCCCCAAAGTCCCCAAAATTCCCAAATTGCACCCGAAATTACCCTAAAATTCCATTTTCTCCCCCAAATATCCCAAAATTTCCCCCAAAATTTCTCAAAATTATCCAAAAATTCCCCCCAAAATTTCACATTTTTTGCCAAAAACCCCCCAACCCTCAATTCCCCAAATTTTCCAAAATTCCCCCCAAATTCCCATTTTTTGCCAAATTACCCCCAAAAATCCCAAGTTTTGCCCTCAAAAATCCTAAAATTTCAGACCAAAGTCTCAAAATTTGCCCAAAATTCCAAAATTTCCCCCAAAATTCCCATTATTCCCAAATTTCCCCCCAAAGTCCCCAAAATTCCCAAATTGCACCCGAAATTACCCTAAAATTCCATTTTCTCCCCCAAATATCCCAAAATTTCCCCCAAAATTTCTCAAAATTATCCAAAAATTCCCCCCAAAATTCCAATTTTTTCGCCAAAATCCCTCCAAAAATTCCAGATTTTCCCCCAAAAAATCCCAAAATTTCCTCCAGAATTCTCTAGAATTTCCCAAAATTCCACCCCAAATTCTCCAAATTTCCCCCAAAATTGCCTAAAATTCCCAAATTTCCCCTCAAATTTCCCCCAAAATTCCCATTTTCCCCAAAAATCCAAAATTTTCCCCCCAACGTTCTCCAAAATTCCCAAAATTCCCCTAAAACTCCCACCAAAATTCCCATGTTCCCCCAAATTCCCCACAAAAATCCCAAATTTTCCCCCCAATGTCCCCAAAACTCCCATTTCTGCCCCAAAAATCCCCAAATTTCCCCCAAAATTCCCAAATGTTTCCCCCAAATTCTCCAAAACTCCCTAAAATTCCCAAAATTCCCCCCCAAATTCCTCAAAATCACCCCAAAATTTCCCTCTAAATTCCCATTTCTCCCCAAATGTCCCCCAAAAATCCCAAATTTCCCCATAAATTCTCCAAAATTCCCAAATTTCCTCTAAAATTCCCTCAAAAATCCCAGATTTTCCCCCCAAAATCCCCAATTTTCCCCCAAATTCTCCAAATTTCCCCGTAAATTCCCCCCGAAATCCTAAAATTTCAACCCAAATTCCCCCTAAAAATTCCCAATTTTCCCCCCAAAAATCCCAAATTTCCCCATAAATTCCCCAAAATTCCCGAATTTCCCCCAAATTTCCCCAAAACCTTAAATTTCCCCCCCAAAATCCCCAATTTTCCCTCAAATGTTCTAAACCTCCCTAAAATTCCCAAATTTCCCCACAAATTCTCCAAAATTCCCAAATTTCCCCCAATATTACCCCAAAATTCCGCACAAAATCTCAAATTTTCCCCCAAATTCCCCAAATTTTCCCAAAATTTCCCAAAATTCCCGTTTTCCCCCAAATTCCCCCCAAAATCCTAAAATTTCCCCCCAAATTCTCCAAATTCCCCCTAAAAATTCCCAATTTTCCCCCCAAAAAATCCCGAATTTCCCCATAAATTCCCCAAAATTCCCCAAAATCCCCAAATTCCCCCAAATTTCCCCAAATTCCCCAATCCTGACCGGGCTGGAGCCGTCCCAGGGCCAGGGCGGGGCCGACGCCGCGCACGAGCTCGGGGAGGTGCGGCACAAGCTGCGGGAAACGGGGCAAAATCAGCCAGATTTGGGCAAATTGGGGAAAATTGGGGATTTTGGAGGGAAATCTGGGGATTTTGGGGGAAAAAATTGGAATT